CTTTTTCCCCAATCGATGAAAAAGAAAAGGGGCAAAATAAAAGATCGAGATTGTTCTCTAATCAGCTGATATAAAATTTAACGAGACTCTCTATTAGCGGAATAAAAAGTCATATTCCCGCAGAGAGCGGCCGCGGTGAGATTTAATCGCAACACCTCGTTGCGTCGAAAATACGTAACGTCCGCGCGTAATTCGGCGAACGTGTTTCGCTTAAACACCTCGGGAAAAAAGGATGTACCATTGCGAAGAGACTTTGTTCCGCGTACTACACGGTGTCGTAACGAGTCGCGGTCCGCCAAGATGGAATTTTTTAAGAGCGCGTGCACACGGAAGCACGCGCTCGTCCCTCGGAAAATACGACGGCGGTCTAACTCGTGTGCCGCCAGCTCCTCTAAAGTATATTCAGTCAGTCTAAGTCCAAAGGCTATTTGCATAGGCGATATTATACCTTCGACCCACCCTCACTTCGTACTGACTCTCTTTCTCCCTCGCCCAGCCCCACGTCGCTACAACGCTCTCTCCTTCGTCTATCCGCAGCGTCCCGGCGCCTCTTTCTCTCGACCACCCCTTCGACCACCCCTCGACCATACCTCGCGCATCCCCGCGTGCCCCCAGCCCGCCTAGAACGTCTCGAGATCTCTGGAATTGGATTAGTAGTGGTTCACCCGAGTAAGACTTGGACTATACTCAATTTGAACTAAGATCGCGCCGCCCGGGAATGGGCGAATTGCTAAATCAGTTTTACGTGATCACCTATTCAGAAAGTTGTCCGCGGATCGAAGCCGGATACCCCCCGCTCGCCGCACGGATGGACCGGCTAGCAGCGAATTTAACGACGTCGAGCGAACCAAGTGCCCGCCCGCCGCCCGATCGCCGATGGATTAATAGAGCTCCGGTTAATATCATGATCCGGTTAAGTAATATCATGATCTCGTTTGTAATTCCTCTAAGCGGAGAGAGAGAGAGAGAGAGAGAGAGAGAGAGAGAGAGAAAGAAAGACAGACGCGCTTCCGATAAGGAAAAATATTCTCTGCAAAATTTTCTGCATCTCCACAAAAACATTAATCCGACGGTGAGCTTTGCCTATACTGGGAAGCGTGTTCATTCGCCGAGGGGCAATTTAGAATCTAGGAAAGTCGGTCGCAGACACCTAACGTCTAATGGCGAACTCTTATTTATTAATTTACGTACCATGGAACGTTGAAACGTAAATGTAAAAATTTCAGGCGCGTGTGTATAATTAGTGTTACTTAAGCGAAATGAACAGATTAAGAAATCATCTGGAAACATCTTAATTTACACTCGATGCAATATGTCGTATTCATCGAACATGGCAAAATATCAGATACTTTTTGCGCAATAGAATCGTATGAAACATGGTGTGTTACGTTAACGCACAGGCTAGATTATATATAACAAATAACGTATAATCGATCCTCAAGTCCGAAGGTGCATTATGTCGCTTGGTAGTCGGTAAAGGCAAACCCACTTTTTCACCCCGGTACTTCGTCAACTCGCGGTAAACGCTTTTACTCTCGGTCGCGCGGTGCTTCATCTCCTTCTCTTTAAGGAGTCTCGAACAAAGATTTTACAAGCATTAGTGATTCGATTAAGAAGCCGTCTCAGGCGCTCGGCTTTAAAGTCTCGCCGCGCGGAACTTTCTTAGAGAAATCGTTACTTAAGTTTTCCGCGTTATGCACTTTCGTCCCCCTTTTCGAAAAGTTTGCAAAGAAATTGCCGCTGTCCCGCAATGCGCGTGCTACCGATAATTGCGGGATGAGTGTCGCGCGCGTGCACACACGTCCCTTGCTCTCTCTCTCTCTCTCTCTCTCAATTATACGACAAACATTCTTCGCCGATATGACACGTCCATTATCGCGTGCTTAATTTGTGATCGAACGGCCACGTTATCAGCTCCATTAACTCGACTCTGAGTAATCGCGATCGCCACCGTGCGCGACAACGAGTTTAAAATAAATTGTCAAAGCGCAACTGCGCGCAATTCGCCGCTTCGAGCGTAACACCGTCGTAAATCTGCCCGACGCACGTCTCCTACGTGAGGGAGAATTACACGTGGTAAGTGGAGGAAAATGCGATGAAAAAAAAATCGAGGGCGAGGGACGATCGTTTCCGTCGCGAGATCCAGCGTAAAATGGCCGGTCGTAGGTCGAGGAAAGCGTAAAGAATTCCAGGGTCCCGGTCTAACGCAGTTAATTTGGCGAATGGGGCTGTCCCTCCACCCTGAACATGGCCACTGCCTTCACACATACGAGGTCTTCCTCCACGTGTGTAACACGCGCGCACGCTCACACACGTATACAGAGAAACACAAGCGCACGCGTATACATACACAGGCGCGCGCGCAGTCGGGTATACCGGGTGATCCTGGCGGAGTCTAATAAAAAGCATCCCCGTGCGCCATGGGATGGTGGGGTCAGAAGTCCATTCGGAAAATGGAGGGACCCGCTCGTCCAACTAAATCTACCCGATAACGGACACCAATTGTCCGCGCGACGAACGCTTGGAAAATTCGCCCCGGCTATGCGGTATCGATTTAAGACACGAAACGCGCAACGACACTCCAGGACGCCGTGATTAAAGGGACACCGCACGAAAATAACCGGCAGGTGGACGGGACGATTTTACAGAAATTTTCCCGATCTCGGCCGCGACGACCAAACCTCTCCGGTCTGTTAGCAAGACGTATGGTAGACGGCTAGTCCTGGCCAGGGTTCGGCTCGACTTCCGACTTTCCCTGCAGAAAACATTGAGTCTGAGGGGTAGCTCTGCCTCATCCCTCTCTTTCTCTCTTCCTCTTCCTCCTCCTACCCGACGTCCTAGCGGCAAAGACGCTATAAATTCTGGCCATCTCGGCTCCCTCCCCTCGCTCTGCCCCGGCAAACACCCCGTTGTCGATGTCGCAGGGATAGTGGCCGAAAGTAAGAAGTGTAGGTCTACCAATAACCCCGTTTACAATTCGTGTCCTTCGGTAAGGAACAAGGAATGGCGTTCTTATCGGCGTTCGATTCGCGCGGCGAATCAAGATCGGATTAATCGTTCCTGATTAATCATTCATTCGACCGATACGTTGTGACCTAATTGTAATGTAAGGGAGAGGGATCGCTCGGAAGGTCGCTGGTACAAGTCGAACGAGTTTGTTAAAAATGGGATTTTTGCAAGGAACAAGTACCGAGGCGCGAAATCGGAGATTTCGTGAATCGTTACCAAATTGTTCTGTAATTTTGGTGTAAATTTTGGTTTAACGAAATTCTCATTTCGACGTTATCTCTCGACGACGTTACTCTATATGGAGGTTCAATAAGAAGATCTCAAAGTTACAGACGACGGCGTAAGAATAAATGTCAAACTAAAGCAATTATATTTCTTTCGTAAATCGATCACACATTTAAGTATACGATATGGCGTTGCAGCGCAAGATGATTTTACATCGTCGGAACATGGTTATTTTTGTATTTCGCTGTGAGTCTATCCGACGGCGAGTTCCATTTGCGAATACCTTGGTTTCGAATCTCCAGTTCGATCCCTAGCTTCGCGAGACTGTCCAGCAATAATTAACGACCTTATTCAATTATCGGGTCAAAGACCACATTTTATGTCAAAAATCCAAGTGGTAGACGCAAATAGGCGACGCTATGTCGTCTCTGTCCTACCATTAAATCAATCTGTACAGAATCAGATTTTCGAGGTAAGAAGAAGATGCTATGAAAAAACAAAAAAGAAAAGTCCCGTATAATGTAATGGTATACAACTTAACGTTTTCCTCTTCATTTCAAAACTTTAAAGTTTCAACTATCAGTTCCGGCATATTATTTGACAATTTGTTGCAATCAACTGACTTCGTAATATCGGCTGATTGAGTACTCGGCATGACTAAATAAAATCAAAGTTGAATTCGATTCAGTAAATACTCATTAATGACAAAAATTACGTGTATCTTATTCGTCTCAACATGAATACGCGTCCTGACTTGTCCCGAGGACAAGGACGGAGCGCGAGAAATCGGAGGGAAAGATCCGACAGAAAGCTGTGAACAAACCCATCTCGTCAATTCTTCCGGGCAGGAAATCTGCGCTTGCCGCGAACCGCCGACCAATTGAATCTCACAGGGAATTTAACACCCTCCCGTCAACGGAAAAAAGGCGAAATTTCCAATTTGATCGAATCTCCGGCCGAATCTTGTCCTTTAAACAAATATTATCGCGGACCCCACCTGACCGACGGTGAGAGCTCGATTTATCTCGCATCCCTTTGTTTCACGTTCAACGAATCGTCTATTACCACGATTACGGAATTTCATAAATGTTATCCCCTTCGGGATAAATTAGCTCAAGTAGATATTAGCTTTCGATGAATAATAAGAGAGATTCTTATTTATGTACCTAACGTGATATCTCGCGTCGGCCGAGAAATAACGGATCGCCGCTTCATTATGCAGAAGTGACTAAATCTTACACGCGACTTCTACGGCGAGGATCGATAGGGCGGCGGTCGATCAATATCATATCTGGACGAAAACCGTAGAAGAATGGCTGGCAATTTCGCGAAGTTCGATGCGATCGCGCGCGTCATTGACGAATCGACACCTCGATCCTACCTAGCTCTCGTTAACGACGAACGACGGCAAGACGAACTTACCTGTGACGTTTCGTCGCGTCCTATCGACACGCGAAACTCGACGGGGTGGCATAAGAAGAAGCGGGAGGCGGAGGATGAAGAAGATCCATCGGTGCAGGCTTGGCATCTGCGTGAACGACCTTATCGGAAAGACATAAACGGCTGAAATCCCGGCCGTAAATTAGGATCGGCAGAACGCCGGACTCCTCCTTCGTGTCCTTTACCTTCTATCTCCTTCTTCCCCCCCCCCCTCTCTCTCTCTCTCTCTCTCTTTCTCTCATCTTACGCGAGATAGTTCAAGTCCGCAATGTGACGACTGTGTCTGCGCGACAACCAGCTGTTATCGAAAAATCAGACGAACCAAGATGGCACGAGAAAAGAGCCGACCGACTATTAAAGAAGATAAGTTTTACGAGTTAGAATGGCAGAAACGAACCTCGCCTGCGGCCAAAGAATTCTGCGAACGCACGGAATCATCCCGAAGGAACGTCATGTTTCAAGAGCAACCGTGTGGATAAGAGAAAATTGCTATATTGATGACATAATCGCCATCGTAATAAAATAATTCGAATAAAATATAATGAGCTGTCAACGAAAATATACTTTGTACAATTTCTAATACTGTAATTAGGAAAATATTTTGTAAAAGCGAATGCAATAAATTTTTCCCCAGGTCAAGGAAAGAATATCTGACAGTCCTCTTTATGTCCATTGCAGGGGTTAAAAATTTTTGCAGTTTCTCTCGAAGAAAGAGAGGAAGACGAGCCTTCCTCTCTCCTGCCTTCCGCATTGATCCTGACAACGGCAAAGACTGCAAGATTGATGAGGCGGTTTCGACGACTTTTTCATTCCTACTAAAGGTAACATCCAAAAACTTGAAAACATCCCTTAATTGTATCCCATCGGGGCGCATCCTGAAATAGAACATTTCTCTCATCATCGTTGTTAATATAATGGATTTTGCGCAACTTTAATGTCTACAGAAATTTTTTATGCAAAGGATGAACGTATCGCCTTCAGCAGTGACCGACCTTACGGCCTTTGTACCGACGACGATCTTCTTACAATGGACACTTTCACGTGGACGTACTTCTTCGACTTCAGGGACAGTCTCGAGGAGCATACGTTGTACAGCACGTTTATACGCATTCCGACGAAGAATAATATGGAGTGCTGTTAGGAGTTAAGAATTTTTTACGATCGCGTATGGAAGGAGGTGCAGGAGAGGGGGATCAACGACGATCCTTCTCATGGTGGTTGCGACGACAAGGAAAAGAGCCAGGTTTGATGACGAAAGCGAGGGCGGGGGTGGACGAGGGGGTGCGAAGGGAACGACGGTGGTGAGGTCTATGCCGTAACAAGGGTGGCACGATTTCAAGAATGCGGAGCACGTTCTCAACCAATGCCGGCAGCCAAGGCAGTAAAACAAATACGCCCTCACTATATACAGGGTGTCCCGGTAATACCGCGCGCGCGCGTCTATGAGCGCCTCACTCCCCCGCCGGAGGAAGAGTGTCGCGGAGTAAAGTCGACCTCGTTACCGATACGAATGGGGGGTAATGTGCTGTGTACGTAGCGAGACCTTTTCATAGGCCCCTGCGGGAAACAGGTTCTCGCGGCCGAAGCTGAAATTAACTCGACGGCGGAAGTTTCCTGCGTGACTCTTTCTTACGTTTACCCGCGAGCCTCCGTCGAGAGCGAGACGCGAATCTCATTCAATCGGCATTTTACCGCATCGACTTCGCGCGTCCCTCAAATTATGCGAGCGAACGAGTTGCGTTTCACGCAACTAAAGAGAAGCTCGTTCGCTCGTTTTCGCATCGAGAATTGAAAATAAATTTAACGAAGCGTAAAAAGTCGCGCACGCGCGCGCGTTGACCGCGGGATTATTGCGCAACAGATTCACAGTTGCTACGATATGCAGGGCGTTAAATCGCGAATAAACTGTACGTCAAATCATTTTGCTTAGAACTCGTCAACGTTAAGTTGCGAAATAATGCGTACAAGAGAGATGAATAAATTCTATCGATAATGCGGATTCGTAATTTTCTTTTTTACTCGCTGTAACTATATCCCCGTCTCGTGATATACCCAGGCGCAAAAATATCAGTACCGATAAAGGATGGATTACTACCGGGTTTGATAGCGCCGCGGACGATCACAAGCGAAAGTATAGCGCGCAATTACTTCGTCTCCCATGTCAGATATGCATTCTCTACGACCGAACGCACAGTCGCCAGTGGAACTGCCAGCGGAGAGAGAGAGAGAGAGAGAGAGAGAGAGAGAGAGAGAGAGAGAGAGAGAGAGAGAGAGAGGAGCATGAAACGGCCGATAAAGGCGCACAATGGCTGGTACGAGCGCGGAAACGCAAATGTCCTCTTTCAGAGGCGTCCTCTTTAGAGGTCGGGGAATGATGGACAGGTGAAAGAAGTGGCCAATGTGGGCTGGTTTCGACGTCTCATGTGACACACACGTCAGCGGCCTTTGTTTTCGCGTCCCTTTGATTGAGTGCTGCGCGTTCTTTGTCCGCGAGCCCGGAGTACAATCCCTTTTATCGTATTCTTCATTTAACGCCCGACGACAGTGCTCTTCAAAACAGAATACAAGTTTTCGCGAGACGACGAGCACTATATTAATACGCGGACTATTCGGCGGCTTGGCGGTTCCATCGATGAAACTTACTCAAAAATTATCATAGTATCGGAAATTGCTAATTAATTATTAAATTAATTATTAGATATCTACTCAGGATGTACGTAAATACCATCTGATATGATGATTTTATCGGACATCACAGACGCCTTTAATTAACTAAATTCGGTACACACCGCTTTCGACCACGGCGAAGAACTACTCGCGCGAATCATTTCATCGAGATTCACCGCGTGTTTAATCCGTCAAAAATGTTACACGGACCATCGAAAGAAACATCAACGAGGCAATGAGCGCAGGCTCGTGTAATCGATTATTTCCCGGCGGCAGCAGTGCATCAACGCACTGTAAACAAGAAATTTCCACGAGTCGCTCGGCCGCGAGTCTAAACATTCCACCTGCTCGACATTTCCGATGCGCGGCGCGAAGATCGTGATCCCGTTTATTCAGCGGAACCTGTTCCCACTCTCGTATTCGGAGCTCGTTGCTTTTCTTGAGAGCGTGATCTCTGATCTCTGCGCGCTCGGCCAGATCACACGCGGACGACACCACGTCGCTGCCAAAGGGAGAGCCCCGAACTGTGGACCAGTTTCCACCTGATATAGATCGCGCGATCCGTTTTTCCCGACAAACTCCGCGCCGCGCCGCGCGCGGCTCACCCTCCGGCGAAACCTGTTCGTTCGCGTGGCGAGGTCCTGGCCCTGGGTTATCCAAAATGCCAGGCTCATCCTCGCCCTGAGACTCGTGCCGCGGATGAAACTGGTCCATCCACACCGGCGAGGGATGCTGCTCACCGGACAATGACCACTGTCCACTCGAACGTACACAAACACCGAGCGGCAAAATGCGGCCGGTTAGCCTTTGACTCTCATTCCCGAGTCTTCTTCCGGTCGGTTTCAACCGGCAAAAAAGAAACTGGTCCAGCCGGAGGGAGAAGATGCTGCTGCCCATTCGTTCTTTCTCTCGCTGTCCACGCCGAGGCTAATAAACGCGGACCGCAAAGTACGCATCCAGTTGGCCTTTGACTCTCTCGCGTGACGAGGGTTGAACGCGCTCCCCTTCGCCGGCTTCGTAATATTTTGAAAGCGTAAATTAGCATTATGGATCAATGATAGCCCGCGCGCGGCTTGATTTCGCGTCCTGAGCGCGACAGGAATTTGTCGAGCGCAATTGTTCATGCGTAACGTGCTCACCTTGAGTGAGAATTTTATTTTCACGGCAATTAAGTGAAATTGATTATATATGAAAATGTCCAATATCGGCAACTGAACACGATGTCTAAATATTTGTCTCACTGACATAATTCTCCAAGATGGTATTGCAAACACATCGTCAGGGACGAATCGATTTTGCATATGACTCCTGAATGCCTTCTACAAAATCGCGCGGAAGCAAGTGGCAAAGAGGATAACGTAGGAAACTACTATTGCGACGTTGGGTACCGTAAGCAAGCAGAACCAACGTTCTATTTATCGCATAATTTTTCAATCGCCACTCTATATATTCGAAAAAATCGATCTAATTAATGAATAAAAATTCATCAAAAAATGTAATAAACATGATACTTAGACAAAATAATAAAAACATCGCGGAGATGATAATTTACCTACTGACAGCAGAGTGTCTAGATTCAAGAAAATATTAGCTACGAATGATGCAGAAACTCTCAGCTCGACCGACGATAGTTGATTTCGACTGCAAAAGCGAGTGAAAATTAATAACGTTATAATTTTCCGCTTACGCGTCACGGCGACATTTTCAAACGTTGAAGCAACGCTGAGTGCCAAAAATGTCAGACATTTTGACGTTTCTCTGGGAAAACCGATAAGCCATTTGTTGCCTCGTTGTTCCTAAGCAACCCACGCATGCCTTACACGTAGCTCGTGCGCGAGGACACGTACAACGACGAACACGACAAGTGATATGGGCTTCTAAAGTGACATCCGCATCCGCAGAGAGACACCTCAGCACCTTCACCACGTGCCTCGAGATGTTCGCACCGAGTCCACACCGAATATGCAACGCACGGACAGTCGAGCAGGAGCAAGCCAAGCTGCAGAAGATCAAGGAGCTGACGGGCATCTTAAAGGTTTAACTTTGCAGCGAGGAATTAGTGACTAACGTTGACGTTTCCTCGTTCATGCATCAAACGAATCTTCTGTGTTCTCCGACGATTCTAAGATCTCGCTTGGTTTGTTGCGCAGGCCACGGACGAGAACCTCACCGTGTGCGAGGAAATACTGGCGACTTATATAAAGAAACGGTTGAAGGTATGCGCAAAATAACTTGATCTCTCTTCCCCCCTCCCCCTGCCCCTCCTGTACATACGAGTCACTCGTTTATTTCGCATTAATTCCACTTTTTATTGCGAAGACTACGAAAGCGACGTGCCGTTTTTACAATCAACACGCAACAATACATGTAATCAATCGATGATGCATGGCGATGCGCGATTTTGACACAATGAATACAAAACTTGCGTATTGTCGCAAAATATTCACAAGCCTAAAAACAATGTACACGTAATTCGTCACGTTGCTTGCACAAGCGCCTAAAACATAGACTAATTAACATTACGAGACATGATAGAACACGATATCGTGCGAACTACAACATTGGTGGGTTATAGAATAGATAATGAAAGAAATGAGCGTCACGCATAGAACGCACGACACACGCGTGAGTTTTTCTAGCGACAGCTAGAAAGGAATCATGCGCTTGCAATCCTTGAAATTTACCACCCTTTGTACCAACCACCATGCCAACCGCTGTACAACAACGGCCAGCTCGGGTACCAACCGCCGTGCAATCCATAGCTACTTAATCCACCGAATCGATACCTGAGAAATCGAACGTATAAGTCAACGTCGACACCAAACCGCTGTCTCGCGATTTTTACATTCGCCGCTGACAAGATATTGATCTGTACTATTTACCACGGCAACACGGGAGTGTAAGTGTCTACGTAAGCCACGGGAAGCAAACCATAGCTTCTCTTTCCTAGTTTCTTTTCCCCTACGACTTCCTGGGCGCTCGGTTGAGCCTGAAGAACGGCGCTCGCTTGCGGGGACACGTCATTACCCTCGGCTGCTCTCTCGGCGACGAGAGCCTCGTCTCCCGAGACCAGAACGATCAACGATAGCAAAAGCTAAAACAATCGTCGACGCGTGGACAATGCGAGTATAAATCACCATAATTAGCGGACGGATGCGCGAGACGTTTCCGGGCCGATCGTTTTATCAATTAAAACGTTCCATGCGCAAAACGGATATAATGGATAAAACTTTTATTTCGAACAATGAAAAGTAAGAAGATTATTAATCAAAACTGAAGTAAGTTCCAGTTAAAGTTTCTAGATTTAGCTCTGTATTCACAACATGATGTAATCAATTATTTCAATGATGACCGAATGTTGAGAGCAAGTGTGAGTTTTAATAAACAAACTGAATTAATAATTGCAACACAGGATTCCGTCATTAGTGCGAGAACGACTTCTTCTCGAAAATTAATATTTATCCAATTAAATGTACGCATTCTCTTTGAAAGATCTAAAAATGAAGCACAATAATTTTTTTTAATTTTCCTTTATAATTTCTCCGTCTAAAATCTTATTGAATTTAGATTGATGGTATCAAACGTTATCTCGCGCACGACCAAATTAGAGATGAAATTCACACAGCTTCGAGCTGAAGCTTGACGCAATCGCGCGGGAATTTAATAGCTTACCAGCAGCTTCATATTAAGCGTGGCACGAGTTCGAACTGATAGTGCTCCGAGGGTTGACAGTACTTTTATACCGGGTTTCCCATGCAAGTCGTCCGTTACATTATGGTGAATTCTAGATTCGCGGTATGCGCGTACGAATAACTAGCATCCCGACTGACAACTTCGTGAGACCACTCCCATCTAAAGGATCGCCAAACGACCTAACGACCGCATGAAAAAAGCACCGCAATTCATTCCTACGATCCGCAAAGTGAGGATGAGGCGGCACACGCGATAAGCACGAAATCGAAATACCATTCCGACTGGGCTTATTAGTTGGAATATAAGGAATACTGGCGAAAAATGTTCAAATATTAAATAAGAAATAAAAGTGCGCGAAAAAATTGTCCTACGTAATAAGCAGCGTCGGGAAGAAGAAAATATCTTCTTAATTATTATATAACGAGGAGAATACTCTACTTTCACGCGACAACAAAAGAGCCGAACAAAAAATATTGGCGAACTATCACCGTTACAGTTTGGTCGCTTTCAAGACAACGCTTGCGAAAAAGGCTAGTACACTGCAGAAAAATAATTGCGGTCTCGGAGATTTTAGAGAATTTCTCGTCTATAAACTTTTTCCACGTCGTCATTTTATATAATCGGAAGATAACGTGCAGCCGATCGATACTGCGCGCTAAATTTATGAGAATCTGACACGCCTGGCAAACAAATGAGCTCAGTTTGCAAATAAGTACGAACTTTTCTTCCTGACTTTACGTAAATTTGTAACAAGATGAGATGAAATATTTTGTTATATTGAAACACAAAGCAAACAATGACCTGTATCTTCCCTTATTAAAAATTAGTTGATACAATACGTATCATACTTAATTTTTGAATTGAAAACAGACTTCATTCAGTGACAAAAATGTACAATACAAGTTTAAAGACGTAAAAGTTTTACTTTATACGTGATGATTAACTTCCCAGAACCACTTTTAGTCGTAACGACCAACAGTCTCTCTTTTTTGATTAATGACGCCCTAATTATGTTCCTGTGTCATTAATTTGACATTTATGATCTAATCGGAATTCTCAACTTTTTACCTTTTACTTAGCGTTTCACACCTCCATGAGTCATTAAAAATTAAATATTATTAACGAGACAAATAGTCCGTATCACGGTGTGCCGTCTTATCAGAACAACTGCCGTCTCTCGTATCAGATATTCCTAATCCATCTACAAATATGTAATATTGCGAGTGCTGAGAACGTCCTTTATGTAATCACGAGCCCTTCCTTACGCATTAAACGCGTGCCGCGAGTTTTTACTGAACCCCTCTCTTGCGAATTGTCATCCTAAGAGGTCTGACCGCTGCCAGACTAGGAAATGGCGACTTTCTCTAGACGGAGAACAGGTCGCACACTGCTGTCCACTTACGAAATACTCAGCTAGGAAACGTCCGAACTAACGCAACGCGCGTTGTCATCCACGTCACTGTCGGCTATGCTAGTATCGCGACTACGCCGGACACGACAAACGATATTCTGAATCGGCGTTTACTGTCGTCAGTGTTTTTCGCAACACTCCCCCAATTCCTGTCTTTCTATCCGTCAGTCGGTCGCGATTGCACGTAATTGTTTTTATAGAATCGCTCGCGCCAGTGGCCACGTATAATATTTTACATAATACCGACATATTTTTGCACGACGTATGCCCAAGCATCAATTTTCAGATAACCTCCTTTATTTTGGAAGTCTTGTTCACTAATCTCGTCACACTTTCCGATACGGATGGTACTTGGGAGAAGAAAAAAAAAGGGAAACTCAAGACATCTAAAACGGAGACATCAAACCTGACTGTTTTTTGAGTGAATTGCGTTTCGTCGTCGCGTTTCAAAGGTTGCTCTACACTATTTTTTGGACTATTTTTTTGAACCTTTCTACATAAATCACGCATAATTTGACAAGCAAATTTTTTAACGCGCCCGAATTAACGTCGCTTTTTCCGACAACTGCCTTTTATGCTCCCGAGGAGGTAACGGTTGCTCTTAATTAACTCGATTCCCGCTGCAGATTATAAACGTATGCCATTATAAGGTTGTCGACCCACATGTAAGAAAGTTCACTGTGGAAACAATTCCCAAGTATTAATAAAACAAATGTTTACATTTATTAGATAAGCCGTAAGTTAAAAACCAGAAGGGGAAAAAGAGACAAGGAGAGGAAACAAAAAAAGGATACCGGTAGTAAACATACATTAATTTTACCTTTGTACACGCATCGGTGGATCTCCTTTCACTCGCTTGGGAAGTTAACAAAAAATATGCAGTTGTCCGCGATACATTTGTCAAAATTTCACTGATCTTTTTCAATTTAAAACTTTTCGCATTTCTTTAAATTGTTTCAATTTTCATGATATCTTATCTTTATATACCAATTCAACAATAATAAAACGAAATTAATAATAATAATAATGATAATAAAGTTGCATTCCACGGTCTATTTATACTCGAAATGTAGCAACACTAGACAAAACATTGAAGGTTTCATACAAAATTATGTTACAATCGAACGATGACGTTCATAACAAAAAACGCGCAGCAAGACTTGGGCAATTCTGCTCCGAAATAAAAATATTCTACCACCTTTATACGCGCGAGATAAGTCACCTACGCAATCGAAATTCCTGGAGAAGAAGGCGAACGTTATCGGCGTTATTGTCACGGATAATTGAGAACGAAAAAATGCCTTTCCTTCGCACGAATTCATCGTGCTATAATCGTTCCCGGAATAGCAATCAAGTTATCGCTGAGCCCTTTTTATTTTTGATTTCGACGAAAATCTAATCGCTGACAAGCCGTAACGAAACCCGCATAGCCTCACTTTTCTTTCGAAAATTACGAAACGTTGTGTCAGGTGCATTGATTTTACGCGTACAATTAAACCACCAGGGATTTTAACCAACCAGAATCGCGCGGCTACGTCTAACTTTTTACTTCTCTTTTTCGAATAACCGTAACTCATTCGGTCTCGTGGCTCGCGCTCATTCCCGCGCGCATTGCATCGTGCCGCTTCAGTTGTCGCTAATCAACGAGTAAGCCCGTGCAATCCAAGAGAAACTCGACATTTCTTTCCGATATTATGCAAAAATTTATCCCCGCCAGTTAAGTCATTGTTTAACGACGTCTATGCCGCTGCACTTGGCCGGCAGTCCTCGTGGAGTTCTCAGTCGCGAAAGTTCCGTGCGACTCGCCAACCTGATTTCTCGGCCGCGTGCTTTGATAAACATAACTTCCACGATGGAACTTTGTAAATTATTCTTCTGACTCGCGTTCGATTATTATTCCGATAATCTCTCATCCTTTACTCTGCAACTGCAATAACAGGCCGATAAAACGCAGCCTGCGATTCGCGATGTGAAACGAACCACCATACACCATGATATAAACACCATGTTAAATTCCACGAATAAAACGAAGAAACTAGCTCTAAAGGAAACTTGTTGACTACCTGAAAACTCATCTGTCTAACAAGCCAGAGGCTACAGAGTGAAGTGTCTTGATTACACCACCATCTAGAGCGGCCCGACGTGTACCTGGATCCAATGTGCGGCTTGCAACTGTCGAGCATCGACTAGGCGTCTCCCAAGATGAAATCGCGAACGCGAATATTAATCCTGTGCTTACTGTGCGCGTCTCAAGTCCTGTCGGAAGAGATCATCGAGTTCGGAAGGAGAATCTCGGTGCAAGACAAAGACTCACCGAAAAATGCTACGCGGAAGAATAACGTGGCCGATGGACTGGACGCGAGCAAGTACCGCGACAAAAGAGCTCTGGGTCTTCTGTTGTCGGGCCTGGCCCAAATTTTCGGATACACGGTGACGCCGATTCAGCTGGCGTCTTTGCCCAACCCGAACGTGACGATGTCCGCCGCGATGCCGAACAGCACTGCGATGCGCAACGTAACGGGACCGCAAACCGCGTCTTCGCAACCTATGTCGATGAACACCACCGCGCCGAGGCGACAGGAGACCATCAGGTTCACCGGTGTGGTGAACTTCGGCAACAACTCGGACGTCGTAGGGCACCTCCAGCGCTATGAGCAAATCTTCCACGGTCGAAACAACACGAGACCTCCGATGATGACGATGACGACCTCGCGACCCGCCACGTCGATGCCGAAGCCGGCCATGAACCACTCGATGGATCTGAGAATGGGCTCGCCGACCAGACCGCCTCTCCTGACGCCGTTCTTCGTGAAGATCCCGTTGCCGATCGCGCCTGAACTCTTGGCGACCACGATGTCCATTGAGGATTTGAATCTGTCGCATCCTGGCCCGCTTTTTACAATCGCGAGAGAGTCACAGAGGGAAGAGGAAGACGCGTCGCCGGAAACGCCGGTCCGGAAGGAGCAGGAGATGGTGTACAAGAGCAACGAGGACACCGAACGATACACAGTGGAGGAAAAGGAGATTTACGACGAGAAGGACGTGATGAAGCCGGTGAGCAAGTATACTCATCGGCTGTACGTCGACGAGCCGAGCTTGAACAGGCAGCAGAATGAGAGATACGACGAAGTGCAGCGCAAGCAGCAGGAATACGTCGCGAGGATGAAGGAGCACGAGGCGCAACGAAATCGTGACCAGGACGACTACGACAGAGAGGACGAAATCAAGGAGAGGCACAGGAGTCGCGGGCAAGAGATCGCCGATCGAAATCGGGACCACGCTTCCAAGTACTCCTCGGAGGAGTACTCGGAAGAGAGGAGACCAATCTCGTACGAAGATGAGACGGACGAAGAGTCCGCGGAAGAATACAAGGAGCGCGCAGGCCAGGCGGATCATTCGAACGAGTCTTCGGAACGGCCGGCAGAAACGGAAGAAAGACAGAAGACCGATTACCCGGATTACGAAGACGACGAGTCTGGCGACAAACAGTCCGGCGGACACAAGCAACAGGAGAACCAGCAACTACCGCCCGACCTTGAGAAGCACCTAGAAGTGGCGTACAACCAGCAATTACCGATCGGCGATTACTTCCACGAGAGTAACCCCGAAGAGATTCGCGACAGCTACGGCGAAGTGTTAAACAATAAAAAACAGCAGGACGACCGGCTTTCCGGTTACTTCAGCATGTTTAAACATCCTCATGATTATCAGCGAATTCAAAATCCCAAAGACGCGTCGCAAGAAGCCAAGACACAAGAGATCATCGACAACGGTTACGACGAGCACTTGAAGAGAGTAGAGAAGCTACGTGAAGAGTACGCGTTACCCGCTCCAGAGAGCAAATACGAAGAGTACGAAATAAACAACGAAGACGAAGCGGACAGGAGCAGCAGGCAGAACGAGGAAGATGAAAATCGTAGCGCGGCGAGGTCGAAGAGTCCCAAGACGGGGCGTGTCCGCGGCAAAGAGGACGTTCGCGCGAAAACGGCCGGGGCAAGCAAGAATCAGCTTCTGCGTGAGTCCGAGGACGTCAAGTCGCAGGAAGAGCTCGATCTCACCAAGTACACACCTCTGATCGTGCCTGTACGCTACGTCGATGCGAACGACCGAGTGGAGCAAGCGAGCACGCGCCGACTGAAGTACAAGGATGCGGAGAAGAAGTCGGATAACAGTCAAGTTCCCTCAGATAAAGGTAAACCCACGACCAAAAAGACGCCGACACCGCTAGTCACAGGCTTGCCTGAAAGACCACGACAATTGCACGAGGGCGAGCACAAGGAGCTTCAGTTGTGGCCGCCGCCTTTCGACTACGCCTTCGACAGCACGGAGCAAACGAACACTATCGCCCCGGTGAATCCAGACAACTACCCCTTGAACTATTATCAGCACATTATGACGAACATCGCCGATAATGATGCGAACAACGATAAATCCTCGGACGAACCTTCCGGCTACCTGGTAGTCGTCGGCAATCCTGCGCATCCGTATCAGTATCCTTACAACGTTTATTATTTCCCTAAGGACGCGATAAATCCACAGGATCAAGATTCTCATTTGAATGCCGAAACCACGCATCATCAGCATCATCCGCATCATCCGCTTCGGCAAAACGCTGGCCAACAATCCACCCAAGCGAATCTTAATCCCATCGATTATTCGAATAATCATAACGGAAGCACGAAGAATCCTCACAACTATTACTATCAAGCTTCAGAAGCTCCAGCTGACGTTCTCGATCGTTATAGATACGCTTTTGGAGAGTACGCGTCTGAATCCAGCGAGCTGCCCAACGTCGATGCAAGAAAACCAATTTCTAATACCGAGAACTGGTCCTACAGGATACATCCATCGCAATCGCGAAGTAACCGGCTAGTGAATCAAACTCCGCCGACTCCCGCACAGCTGCAGAACGTTAAGCCTTCGAATCAACACACGCAAAGAGCGTCTTCTGAGCAAAAACGTTATCCGGAGTCGGGGAGAAAACGGAAGAGTCCGCGATTGCAAGGCCAACATCAGGATAACCGAAAGGCACAAGCTCCTTCGCGACATTTAGTCCCAAGAAGGCAACCTTTCGATGATCCTCAAAGCGCGCACGACTTCTTCGGTTTCAGCAGGAACGATTATAGCTTCGACGGGGAAAGCGGCAATGCGTCGGAAGTCGCCAAGGGGAACGACAAAAATGCAAAGGAGTCGCACGTGTTCGGTGCACCGGAACCGACCGTTTATCACTACGACGAAAACACGGCGAAACACACCGATGAACTGGAAAATGATACAGAGAAAGCCATAGTTAGGGAATACAGGAACAAAGTGGCGACCTTGAAAGTGTCGGAGCAGAGACGATCGAGTCCCAACGGGCCGATTCATTACGTGGACTTTACACGCAATATTTAATGGCAACATATCATTAAAGAGAAAAGAAAGTCTAATATAATACACGGTGTCTTGCGAGAAGATATTGCATATCTGATAATATTTGAGTGCGTTATTGATAAAATATATCTTATAATACATATAAAATATTTGTTTCGCTCTCTCTCTCTCTCTCTCTCTCTCTCTCTCTCTCTCTCTCTCTCTCTCTCTTCATGTAGCGCTAACATGATGAAATATTGATATTTGTATTCAATATCAATCTTAACAAAATCCGCTTTGTATCGCAAAAATAGGCGTGTAAGAATATACATAAAAATAATGCACAATATAGAATGCACAAGAAACAAGAACAATATAGAGAATAAGGAAAATAAGGAAATACATATAAGTATATAGCTTACCTTAATAAATTATCAATAATATTATAAAATACAGAGACTGAAAAGTAATGATCAAGTGCAAGGCAAAGTTTACTTAGGGAAGAATGAAATAAGATTCTCCGATAAAAGAATTATTCAATATTATAAATTACTCAACAAGTTACGTGTTTGTACGATCGAATTTTTTTTGTTCAAAATTAATTTTTTCGTAATATTTTTTTGCGGGTGAAAAATTTTACCTCTTAGCTAAAAATATTCTACGTTATTCTCAATATGTTATCTGTTATATGTCAAAATATCTTTTAGCATTTATACATATGTTGCAGGAAAAAAGGGAGGAAATGCAAAGAAGAAACGAATTAGAAAACAAGATGGCTGAAATATTGGAAAATCTGAAGACGCGATTGTTGGTTGAATGAGTCGAATATTTGAAATCTATATATTTTTATCAGTTAATTGTATGGTTTTCTAATAATCAATGGCTTATTATTCTTTATGTTACTTGTTATTATATTTCGTTATTATATTTACGTTTCAGAAAAATAAAACTATATTCTACTGGTTTTATTGCATCTAATGTACCGCAATTTCCTTGGTCAATTCGCACTCACCTCACCATTTCATGTTACTAAATGCATATTACGTTACTATTAATTCGAAATTACTGGCACGTGAAAAATGAAAAGGTATAAACCTGGATTTTGATTTCGTATTGCTTGTAAAATTTTAATTGTTATTTAGAATTATACATATTATCGCATTTTAATATCTGCTATCGTAATCACATAAAAAATATGTTAAAGACATAATACTTTATTTATGCAATAATAATCTAATCAGAGAAGTCTAACACGTTGAATCGTAATTTGATAACAAACCGACGCAAGTAACTCCGAGTTGAATAAAGATAAAACATCGTACTGACTCACCAGTCCTGCAGATTCCGAAACTCGTTCCGTCTTTGTCCAAACTCTATACTCCTCGTCGATGATCCTCGTCAAAGTGTGTTCACAATACTTCTTCAGATGAATCAATGTCACTGTAAAACACACGTGAATGTGTTATTTAATTATTATCGTTCTAATACTTTTCTACTGTCCTTGTCGCACGAATGCATAGCGCCAAACAAGAAAACGCCACAAGTCTGTTACAAGTTGTACAATATCCAAGAACGTAAATAACGACAACAATATGTGAATTGGTTCGTTATTTCTCATGTATATTCCCAAGCAACCTTTATTCGCCCTCATTCGCCAAAGTATAAATATATCTCCACATAATTTTTGTGAAACATACCTCTTAACGCAGCTTCCTCGTACCACGATCCACCATTGCTATTGTAAATTCGAACTTCGATTATCGCAATATGCACTTGAACGATGTATCGATATGTCGCTAGTTGTTTACAATCGATTCTAGAGCATTCACCAATCAGCATCGAGAAACATCGTTTTAATTCGTTTGACAGAATGACGTCTAGATATCGTTCATGGTTAATACATCTTGGGCATATAGACTCGGAAATGAATATCGATTTTGTTCGTTATAACTTACAAGTAAATTTCTTAATACGATGGTATTAATACGCTAAAAGATAAAAAGCAATTGCATGAAATTCTCACAGTAAACGTACAATCTATTTAGACGATATTTAATAAAGTATCAGTTATGGAAGAAGTTCTGCGACAATTGGGGGTTGGAATTCGACCTGTGAATGATCCCTTTTTTGACGACTCATATAAGACTTGTAAAGTTTTCGAAAGGAAAGGAGTTACAATTGATGACGAGGAAGAATTATGTCACGAAGTGTGAGTTTATACAATGTTTTCACATAACCTAGAAATATATTTACTTCCATATGATAACTGTGTGTAAATATTATTCTACAATTTTTACTCACGAAATTATATACGCCGTTTTTCTTTTAATGAATATTGTAAAGTTATGTATGAATATTGTAAGTTATTGTAATGTTAAGAATCCTTAAATCTTAAAAAGTGAAAAATATTAATTATTTACTCTAGTACATATAAAGAAAAGGATTGATTTGAAATGGATAATAAAAGCACTTTATTTCAGTATCAAAGAATTTCCTTGTTATGTCTCAGGATGCAAAGGCATCTTTCAAACATTACTTGACTATGAAATGCATTACAATACTTCTCATCGATATGTTTGTACAGAATGTAAGGCATCTAGGCCAAACCCACGACTATTAGAGATTCATATTCAAGAGTTGCATGATGCATTCTTCAAAGTTTTATCAGAAAAACAGGCTATGGTAATAACGCTTATGTATTTATATATGTATATATATATACATATATCTAATTTTATTACATCTTTATAATAACTAACTTAACTAATTTAACATAAATATATTTGTTTTAGTACCAATGTTATGATTCTGAATGCAATATAAAATTCAATACCCCAGTGGAAAGGAGGGAACATTGCATTCAAGTACACAAATTTCCAAAAAAATATCGATTTGATGATAATTTGTTTTATAACAAGGAAGGAAAATTAGATGAAATGGAAATTGATGATGCTGATAAAAGCCAGAAGACTGCTAAAGTAATCTTAAATAAAAATCAGAAAAGTAAGATGTTCACAAAAGCTACTAACAGTAAGATTTGTGTAAATACTGCTAATATAAGAACAATTCCATCATCTGATGTTGAGCCAAAACTCACATCATCGTTAGCCTTTATACCTAGACAAGTACAAAGATCTTTTTCAAAAGCACTTACAAATAATCAGAGTGGAGAAAGAAATGTTCTCGAGTCAGACAATATGATGGAATTAGCAGATTCATTACCTAATTAATATAACGAGATTGGTTTTAAAGTTCTTTCTCTCCATTGGCTCTCTCCATTGGTTTTAAAGTTCTTTCTCTCCATTGGCAAGGGGACTGAAGGATTTATATAAATTGCAAAGACATATTAATTTCATCACAATTTATTACTAAATCACAATTAAGAGTACATTTAGTAATAAGCATAAAATAAATTATATATGGATATTTTAACAAAATATGAAAAATTATGTATAATATAAAATAATTTTATGTTCTGCAAGAAACACAGTCATTAAATAGCTTTAAGAAGTAAGACTAAACGTTAAAATATTTAATAATTAATTATAGATTATAAAGATGAAATTGAATCTAGATGTGAACTGATATTTGGATATTTAAATGTTTGATTATCTGATCAGATTTTGCAATGTGAATATCTATGGATATATTAAGAATGAATATGTGTTATTAAATAAAATTAACAAGATTCTATTTAACATCACTCAAATACTGATGTTAAACTTTGTCCATGGTAATGTTTATTTACTATTTCAATTAAATCCGGGTGAATAGCTGTGTCTTTATACTTGTTGAGAACGTCGTTCATAGCATTTTTGAGCGCTGTGTTCTCTTGTTGAAGAAAAGCTGCTCTAATGGCAATCTCGTCTTCTTTGGCTCGTCGCGCGTCTCGAGAACGTTTTGCCGCTTCGTTATTCTTTCTTCTTCTTTCCAAATAGGCACGGGTTTTCTCTTCATCTTTTTGATCTTTAATGGTGCTAGTAGGTGATCCGGATCTATTGGAAATTCTGCGCATTTTACTATTCGTACCTTCATTTTCTGTATGTTTGACTTGCTCCATTACTGCATTTCGGTAGTTCTTGTATATATCGGAGGATTTATCGGAGAAGCTCTTGTTAGCTGTGTTCAAGGCTAGAGGATCTTTCGGGAATGCTTTAAACGGTCTTTGTGCATGTTTAATCGATTCTAACATGCTTACTGATCTTCCTATTTCCGGTGTTACCGGCAACTGCAGTGGATGAGCAGTATTTGACACAGGCATATTTATTGGCGAATACTGCGCATTCACTGTTTCCGTTGCTGATATCGAGCATTGTGATAATGGCAGTCTGGTAGATAAATGGCTGTTATTATGGCTGTTCTTGATTGGATTCCTGATAATTTTCTGAGCATTAGTGTCAGTGTGATTTCTGTTGATTTGTCTGTGGAACTGCCCGAACTGCATTTCATTACTATTGCGCAAATTGGGATTTGTCCGAACGTTACTGATGTGATCGTTATTAATCCGGTCATCCCTCTGAATATTGTTAATCCAGATATTTTGGTTATTGTCCTCGTGCCTCGTCGAAGTTTGCTGTTTTATTCTTTGCGGCAATGTCAACAAATTTGTGATAACTTCCGATGTATTAAATCGCATACGAAGAGCCATCGAAGTACGTGAGTCATTGTTAGTAGTAGGTTGTTGTATCGATTGTTGCTCGTTCATCTCACTAGATGAGAGCAAAAATGGGGGAGGAGATATTGTGGGAGGTGAACTTGTAGCTTCGGCCGGTTGTGTCGTACTCCTCCTCCCATACGACAAATCCAGTACCTCCGAATTTGGATTGGGTACTCTATCCAAATCAACATCGCATAGAGGTTCCTCCGAGTCGATTTGCTTGATATCTATCATCTTTATCCTAGCTTTTCTTCAATGAGTTTTTCACCTGCAAAGTGAATAAAGCACGATATTGTGAATTTATAATTGATTTATATATTACTGACAAAAAGAAATTGTTGTATTTATTGATTTATATATTACTGACAAAAAGAAACTGTTGTAAAAATTGGGCTCGTGAATGTTCAATCGACAAAAATTAAATCAAATGCAATCAAGGCATAAAAACTGTTATTGACATATCGGGAAATACAAATTCTTTTATATTATTGTCCAAGTTAAAAGCTTGAAAACTAAATTTGTACAGTTGTATACTTGCTTTTATACATTACTATTACGTCTATTAAGCTGGCACAGCACTTTCAGCACAATCGCATGGAACTAGCATAGAAATTTAGTGCTTTTTTGTTGCTAATTTGTTGCTCTATTACCCCGATTTTGTTGCTCCAGCCATTTGGAAAAAAAACAGGGGCTGTGCTAGCTTAACATTAAAGTTATCACAGCCCCTCGAAAAAAAAATAAAAAACAAAAAACGAACACATATTTTTAAACTACGATTTTGTTGCTAATTTGTTGCTCTATTCCCGATTTTGTTGCTTCAGCCATTTCGAAAAAAAATAGTGCCGGGGACCTATAGACGTGTGCTAGCTACAAGAGTAAACTACCCGGAAAAATTTTGTTGCTCACCCAATTTCGGTCTTAAGCAACAAATTTTTGTCGAATAGTTTACTCTTGTAGCCAGCACACACCTATAGGTTCTCGGCTATTGCTTAAACATATACCGCGAGCAACAAATTTGAAATTGGGATATCTTAAGAGCAACAAAATCAGACAATATATTGAGACCGGAATTGGGCGAGCAACAAATTTTTCTTGAGTAGTTACTTTTGTAACCAGCACACACCTATGTTCTCGGCTATTGTTTAAACATATACCGCGAGAAATTTGAAACTGGGATATCTTAAGAGCAACAAAATCGGACAACATATTAAGACCGAAATTGGGTGAACAACAAAATTTTTCCGGGTAGTTTACTCTTGTAGCTAGCACACGTATATAGGTCCCCGGCACTATTTTTTTCGAAATGGCTGGAGCAACAAAATCGGGAATAGAGCAACAAATTAGCAACAAAATCGTAGTTTAAAAATATGTGTTCGTTTTTCATTTTTTATTTTCTTTTTTTGAGGGGCTGTGCTAACTTTAATGTTAAGCTAGCACAGCTCCTGTTTTCTTCGAAATGGCTGGAGCAACAAATTAGCAACAAAAGAGCACTAAATTTCTGTGCTAGTCCCATGCGATTGTGCTGAAAGGGCTGTGCCAGCTTAATAGACGTATTACTATTACATACAATGAAAGAATAAAAGAAAAAAAATGTATGTAAAAACTTTGATGGTCGCATTTTTTTTACCCTATAATCCGATATAAATATTTAAAATTGATTTTTTAAAAAACGTTAAAATATATATCCAATATATATTTGTGAAATATATATCAAATTCATAATTAGTGAAGAATTTAGTGACTGTATGAATTTCGATAGTTGTTCATGCATAATATCAGAAACATTCATTATTTAATTGTTCATGCATATAATATTTACTTGGTTATCCGGCGATTAAAAATAACGCCCTCCAAAAAAGAAAAAACTACTGTTCCAGAAATTTAATACATTGATTGCTATGGAGATGAAGGTACTATGTTTCATCACGTCTCATTGATTTACGCATCTTCAAAAATCATTTAAAATATCAAAATATCTTTAACAAATATATGCGTCAAGAAATGTATGTGTTCGTTATAACATCTGATTATTCGAGTTTTAGTTAAGTTTCGGGACGATCCACCGAAATCAAAGTTGCAGTCAACGTATCATGCGAACAAATATCGTAACATCTTGATACATCATCCTGTCTGTTACACACAAGAAATTTATGAAATTTCTTAAAATTCACGTATCCAAATTGTTCACTGCACTTATTTTATTAATATCACAACACTACAGACGACAACATGCTGCTTAAACGTTACCGATGATAATTCTACTGCTTCAGCAGAAAGCCAACGTTTACGATATTCCTGTCTGTCCGTACTTCAGGAAACTCTAAGTCCTTCTGAACGAATCTAGCAGTTTCTGCTTTTGCTTCTGCTTTTATTTCGTTTACCCCTTCCTCAAAAAGGGTAAGGGATGTCCTTAGCTGCTGTAGTAGGGAAGGACGGTTCCCTATTGACCACTAAGGTATCGGCACTAATGTATCGTCCACTGAATGTTCATTGTGTCCAGTTTTCAGGATTTTGGTGGTAAGCTAATGCTACCAGCCATTTTTAACCCTTTCGATACGGCTATGTCGCGTTACATGGACCAGTTACAACGTACATCTTATCGTCGAGTGGGTATAACATTTGACATTCGGTAAGATAATGTAAATTACAGATAAATTGTTCATAAAGGATGAGATATTACAATATAATATATTTTAAATTATTCAGATTTAAAAAATTGTTTAATAATATAATTCCGACGATGAGCGACTATAGTCACCCGTAGGACACAGTGAGTGTGCGATGTTGGGTGACTATACTGCAAACCTGAGTGTGTTATTTTGACGCGTACAAGCTGAAGCTTCCTTTACGCGTATCTTGTCGTCTTAAATCACATCGTTTAACGCATTTAAACGCGTTAAGTGATATCGAAATGCATCAAATGACGTGTTTCAGACGACAAGAAACGCGTGAAGAAAGCTTCAGCTTATAATACGTGTCAAAATAACACACTCGGATTTGCAGCGTACAGTCACCCGTAGAGCACAGTGAGCGTACGACGATGGATGACTATAGTCACCGGTAATATCGGAAGGGTTTCAATGATATATAATGCTACATCTCACCACTAATCAGTGATATGATAAAATGTATAAAATACACAGATAGGGAGAATAGATAATACGAAAAGATATAGAAAAATGCACGAAATATTTTCTACTAACTTACACATTTCTAACAATCCTTTCAATGAGCTCAATCCTTTTCTTTCCTTTAACATGTCGGACATCTTTTCGACTTGATTTATGACTCAAAAGGATAAAATGAGGACATATTTGTCTATTTTACCTGTATTTACGACACAGTTAGATCCCAATGAAACTGTCACTTCAAAAGAGCCGATTATTGATGAAGTTTTTGGAAGTTCTCTAAACTAACGCAACGTACATGACGAATATCTTCTAAGGAATCTTCTAAGGAATATCTTCTAAGGAATGGAAAATCCGTTCGTTTTCCAAAACTGTCTACTGACCGGTGCGATTTTATGAGTTACTTTTACTTATTTTCACATGCGATTTATGACGCTCCGCTTTGAACGTAGATCAAAATTTAATTAATCCAATCTGCTTATTTCGATATCTCACATCTCTGAGAATCTCTGAAAATCTCTGAGATCTTGATCGAAAATTTATTGTTAGAATAAAATTTATGACCTTTCCTTAATGCATGTGACAAATTCCTCCTTTGATACAATAGCTAAGAGATTAATTCTTTCGACAGATATGTCTCGTTGTATATCTCGTAGAGATGTGCGAATCAAGAATTTTTATGTCGAATCGAATCGAATCGAATCTCATTTTTTTAATTCGAATTCGAATCGAATCGAATCTATGAAATTTCATTCGAATTCGAATCGAATCGAATCATTAAAAAATTTAACATAACTATTAAACATGCACATAATGATGGTTTTAATATGAAAGGGGATATTGATATTGTAATATCATCTTAAAGTAAAATATATATTTAAATATTTAAAGTAATTTATAATTAAGTTATTAATTATAAGTTAAGTTAATTACAAATTAAAGGTTCAAACATACAGGCCCAGATGTCTCGTTTTGTACTTGATGCATGCAAATATAATGCACGCTAATATATTTGATTCGTAATTGAATCTTCGATTCGAAATTTTCGAATTATTCGGATTCGAATCATAGGGATTCAGATTCGAATCGAATCGAATTACATTAGATTTGATTCGATTCGAATTCGAATAGTTCGCACATCTCTAATATCTCGCTTATGTTTCTGTAAATTTTGATCAAGAATCGTTTTTGTAGCACCGATAAATTCGCAGTGCTACAATATGCGACTTAGATAGAAGGACATGAAATTTTAAGAAAAGGCCGGCGGAAATACGGGAAGGAAAGCGAAAGATCGTCAATGTAGAGGAACAGTTATCCTTGATATGACGCTGTTACCTATGCCGGTGTCCCGCGATCACGCCAAATTTAGTCGTCCGTTCCGGGGCGGATTAAGCGTCTTGTCATGCCGGGCAGCTTGTCATAGAAAAGCAGCCCGGCATTCAATTCACCGGATCGCCCCCTCTTTTCCGTGTATACAAATTTTTGCTCTTTTGGCTGCATAACCTACATTTCTATGGTGGTCGGTGGACGGTCGCAACCCGTTATTTGCGATATTTCCCTGTGGCCGTCGGCCCCCGCGACGGATGAATGCGCTCGACTATTTGCATCTGCTCACAAACGCGCGCGCGAGCGCACTTCGTAACGGTATCGAACGAGTCATCGCTGTCATTTTTCTCGAAATTTCTCAATTTACATGTCACGGAACGCAGCCGAATACGCTGCGAGATAAACGTTGTCGAAGTATTCATAAATGGTACACAATCGCGAATGGGCGCATTTCTTCGCAGAGCGCTGATTTTCTCCCGGAACATGCCAGGATTTTGTGCGATTTTTGACCGTTCTCTAAATCTACACATAACGGGCTAAAAAATGGTTTTTTTTTTTAAATCAGTTAATTTAATTTATCATCAACGTTAATTAGTTTCTCGTAAAAAGTGCCGCGAAAAGATAATTGGCAATAGAAGCAATGTGTGACGATCGACGCAAGCGAGACATTTTACAGAGAATAGAAATACCGATAAGAATACAAAGGTCAATATATAAAAGTATCGGAAAAAGTTCGGATAAATAATCGCATCTAACGTACGGAATGCACGTACATTAGATAACGCGGTGAAAGAATTCGATTCTTTTCAGAATAACTCGGCAAACTATTATGTAGTATAAACAAAAATATGATTATGCTATTATCTTCAATCGTCATTTGTTGGTTGTATCATTTTAGATAGAGGGACAGATTCCAGGTATCTTTTCGTCTTAAAAATACATCGAATGGTTTCATAAGAAAACAAAACGCGTGTTCAAAAGACAAGATGACTCAGCGATTGCGGAAACCTGGCAAATATGAGACGTTTCTTCCTTAAAACAACCAAACCGTTGACATTTTCGTCCCACATTACTAAGCTAATTACGATGACGAATGATAGTTTCCTGAAGTAATTTGCAACCCGTCGCCTAAAATAATATGGGGAAAATTTTCTGTGGAAACTGTAAAATTAGACTCAAACAATTGTAAAACTCTGATCAAAATAAAAAAATATATAAAAATAAACGGGTAACAAGTGCCAAACTGCATCTTCAGTTTGCATATATTTGCAATATATTTGCATATAACTTACATAAAAAGATATATATTAATTAACTTTAACTATCGGGAAGTCTCGACCATTAAAATGGAATTAGGCATATATAACAGAATACAAAATATTCCGAAAATATAATCTCGTAGCTATCAATTGACAAGAGGAAAAGAATTTAACGAAAGAGTCACTCTTTCGTTAAATTCTTTTCCTCTTGTCAATTGATTATCATACATGAGGATTATCATACATGACGAGAAAACTGTCTAAAATTTCCTCACTTTTTCTTTGCTTCTTGACCCATAAATACAAGTTTATAACATCGGATATCGTTAGAAACGGGATCGCGATAAAAAAATCCAAACACATCTGCGTCTTTTAAAAACTGTTAGAATTCAGTAAAAACTCGTCGCCGAGCTATCCTGACCATTTTGACAAAAAAAAGGCACTGAGGGTGTGGACTGGTGAAATTCTGTTGTCGCGACCAGAAGACGTTTCAGAGCAGATACACAGACGCGCTAGTGGGGTAATTACTTTTCAATTTATCTTGCTAGCGGACCACCGACCAAGTTTTACCAACAGACCTCTTGGAGAAGTTCGGCTCGCTTCCGGTAGCCGCACAGGCCGCTTTCTCTCTCTCTCTCTCTCTCTCTCTCTCTCTCTCTTTTTGAAAGATCTCTTTCTTTCTCAAACGCTTTCGTATCCCCTTCCTACAGCATTGACGAACACGCCCCTTCGCACTTCATGCATTTCATTTCTCGACGATACCCTTTGCAGATCGATGAAGATGGATCTGTTGGGCGCGCGAGGCGAAGACGTGGTGTTGGGCGAAAAGTTACACTCGATTTGAACTGAAACGCTAGGAAATATCGCGGGCATAATCTACGATAAAGGACCCGCCTTGGAATTTAAAGACTCATTTAACGAGTATTATTACGCGACACTCTCGGGACGATTTTAAAGGATCTCTTCCTCAAATATTTGTACCGTTAGTCGCCGAAGCATTAGACTACTGGATCTGCATTTTTCTACTGCATTGTAGAAAAGAAATAAATGATTTATTTTCCAAGCAATTTCAATAGGTTCTAGGGTTTCAGAATCATCATTTTTCAAACAAACAGGAGATAATATTCCATTGTTACATCAAGACTACTTTCGAATAACAGTCAAAGAAAAAAGCACTACGATGATGCCTTCGTAACAAGGGTTGAAAGGAGAGAAAAAGAAAGGGTATGCGAAATGTTTGTCTCAATATTCAGTTCAGACGACCGTGATATTTTCTACGGAATTCAAACAAATAACGAGCGAACTTTCTACGTCGAACTTCGAATGACAGTGCTCAACTCTTTACTATTCGGCTTAGTAATCGGACACCATGTACGAGTAAAAGTCCCGCTGGTCGGGGCGACGCTGTCCTGCTGCTCTTTTATGCTTAAATATTTTACCTGTTAGCTCAACTGTTCAGGCGCATTAATGTGCCCTCTGATTTTGCGGAGCACTAACCCCTCTGATTTTCTTACACAATAAATATTTATCGTAAGATTGTATGCATCGAATTATAACGAATTATAACGAAATTAATAATGTGGCATCTTCGGAAAATCAGCGTCAATCGCGAACATCGAACAGTTGTCGTGACATCGGCTTTTCTTAAAACAGAGCAAATAGACGCACGTTATGAAAGTTTAATTAAACACGCTGACACACACATGCCCCGTGCCGATTAGTTTCACCGTCGACCCCTCAGATGACCATGGGCGTATCTGTAATAGGTTCTCATTCACACAATACATCTAATTCGGAATACCTAGGCCTGCCGAAAATGTCAATTTTATGAGAAGCGGAGCAGAAAGGATCAAGCGGGCATGTTCGCAAATTTTCTCCCGAGTATTTTCTACATCTAACGGAAAAAATTGATAAAAATCTGCGCGATACTCATGACTGGAAAATCGTCCCTGGCTCCACGAAAACGACTATATAAAATTAATATATAAATAAAATTAATCGAACGGTTACACGGGATGAACGGGAGGAACACACACGGGGAAATTTCAAATGCATCGCTTGCGCGACAACTGTTTCGTTCGCCCACCGTGCAAGGATCTTTCTTTGTCTCCGTCGATTCAGGTTGAGAGCCGATCTTTCCAAAATATCGAGATGTTGGTCAGCATGTCATATGGTCAATAGCCAGTGACCGCGTGGGTGAAGAGTGCAGATGCGCAAAGTCCGCGCGAGCAACCCTTCCGTAATAACACCGATGAGAACGGAGGCTGTGTGTCACGACCCATTCTCCATTGTGACATCTCGATGCCGGACCGCATTACTCCCGCCGCTGTCGTGTCAAGGGACGCGTGGTCCCGCTAACGGTATACGAAGATGCAGCATAGTGCTTGGAAAGTGTGTCAAAAGAACGAGCGATCTGCGGGATCCCAATCGATCCCGGAGATCAAGTTCGCCCCGAAAACTTCAATCGCGTTCGTGCGACCGTTTCTTCGTTCCGTTATGCAAAATGGATAAATATTGATCGCCGATGAACTTCACGATACGAGAGAACGTGTCAGATATTTTCGGATCTTGGATTTTCCGAGAAAAATTTTATCCCTCGCTGTCGCGACAGATCTGACATTGTTAACGAATTATTAATTAAAATACGAGATTGTGCCGAAGGGAAAGCTCTTATACTATCTCAGGTGTCAGTTGTTGCTCTCGCTCATTAACAGGTTCGAGCATGATTAACAAAACGCCCGGGTAACAATGACATATATTCAACCATGCTTTTTATTTACATAAAGTTCGATTAATTTTCTGACACAGGCAGACTTAACGTTAACGGCAGCTAATCAGCCGCTCTAGGGACTATTCGCGCTTAGCTACGTGAGGCAAGTCGTACTTGCCGCGCACACATTTAATATTAACACCGGGTGTATCTCGCAGCCGTCCGACTCTACAGAGCACGATGTTGTGTTCCTGCAGATTGTGGCCAATCCCTGAAATAATTTCATCCTGAAATCATGTAATGTACCCATGCGCGAAACGGCGAAACAGGTTGCCCTCGCGTAACGACAATTCGACGGACGTAATTGTGTTGCTCATTTGCCAAATAGCCAGTCGCGAATCTCACCTGGCACATATGCTGTCATCTCTTTGCCGTTTGATAACTTCACGACCACACATTTCCGATTTGCAGAATTAGGTTTTTTTGGTTTCTTAATGACAGTTTTCAAAATTATGCCTTTCATGAACGGCTTGTTTCCGAAGGGATTTTTCCTATAATGTGTTTTTATGTGCGGACCTACATTGTGAAGTCTCCATAAGGAAGTCTTTGATCTGATTTGCGCTATACCTGAGCCAACAAAAAAACGACCATACAACTTTTTTACTTAATATTTTTTTACAATTGCATAAGAAATGAGCAAAGATTCGGGCGAAAGCTGAGATCATCCCTTGTAAAAATAACTTGAGCTAGCGAAAGTGCACGGATATAAATCGTTTAGATTAATAAGGAGTGAAATACCACAAAATATCACGACCTGTCGATATAAAGAGAAAAGCCTGAGGACTCTGCGAAAGACGCAACAGCTATAGAAAATTACGAAACGACGGTTGGGAAGATTTCTAAGGCCATTGTGAGAAAATTTAAAGAAGCACAGGAGGAGACGGCCATTTAAAAGAAAAATTTTGCAAGTGATGATATTGAGGGAAGGAAATTTTCGTGTTCAGAATGTCAATGAGTTACGTGAGCCTGTTTCTACGTCTTATATAATATGAAAAATTTGAATGTAACATTCCCACAAAATACATTTTCTTTTAAAAATTTTAATTGAATTTATTAAACAAAGTGTACCTCTCCGCACGGTTTATAGATAAATTTAAACAATAGCCTTTGACGATAACATCGATACACGCGATGGCGCGAGATTTCACTTGACGGAAGAGGAAATTTCGTCATTTGGAGAATTACACAATTCTGTCGCAGATCTACACATTTTTCGTTCTTTATCGGCGCAACTAGCTGGAAGAAATATTTATTACGAATGACTATTCTTTAAGAGTAAAACGAAAGCCGACAATGACGTGACAATTCCGCGATCATCTCCCAAGCAGAAATGCAACACTGAAGGGAATCGAAACGAAATTGTACCATTGTTGTTCATTTCTGGATCTGCTGACCACTGTGGTCAATATGACAGATGGCCAAAATCTGGTGATGCTAATCCGCCCTAACTCTCTAGGTTCAACAGAAGCAGGAGACCAGGGAAGAAAATTCCATTATCCGGGAAAGCTAAACCCCTTCTTCGAGAGATCAATGTGTAAGATTACGTTGCAAAAATTTTCGTCATCGCTGTTGCGCGCCTTTGTTACGTTTCTGTGGTCTTCCGCTGTATTTCGAAATCTTTCTTACGGTTGCGAGCACGCGGAAAAATACAAGTTTAAAAGTTTCCCGCGGTTACCAAATAATCGAGATACATCTACTGAGTGGAAAACACACATAATATTTCTGACTTAATTTTATTTATAATTTTAGTCACGTTGGATTGGTTTTAGTCGTGTTTAATGAAACTTCAGTATAGCATCTGAATTATAATTCTTCGACTGATATCTGTTTTTACCAATGTTGGCCGCTCGTATTTCTTCGTAAATAAATAAATAAATAAATATGTATGCATACTGCACATATATCTTCCTTCCAAAAAGTGTTTGTGACATAATCTACATCGAACGATAATCATAAAAAATAGATTAAAGATACCAAATTTACGTAAACTAGGTGAGATTATCGACTTGATTAATTCTCGATTCCGCGATAAATCTACATGCTTGCGTGCGCTCTCACGAGCACCTCATATGTCTCACACCCTTTGTGAGAATCACAAGAAAAGCGAAAAGGGGTGTAACGCAGGAACGGCGTTCTCTCGTACGGCCGTTCTAACCCCCTGACAATTGGACAACCGCAAATGGACACGTCACTCCCTCAATTCCCAGCGATTTTCGCTATTGGTCACACTATTGGGGCACCGTCTTTACGCTGCCCGAGCCCTTTCTTGCGAAGTGGCCGGATGGATCTCTTTTCGAACTTCGAAACGAGCTCTTGGTCCGTGCGGATGAAAGAGGTGAAGCCTGCGCGTATTTCCGCAATGAAAGAATACCACAGATGGGAAATTTGGTTCCTTTCGAGGCTCCTGCAGTCGGGTCCGAGAAAAACGCTGATTCGTATCTGACGAGAGACACCTTTAGAATCTCGAGACGCTATCGATTTTCAAGAGGATCAGCTCGATTACACTCGCCAGAAGTGCGAACAACACCTGGCATCTCGCATGATTTCATGTAAATATAGATCGACGAATCGCTAAACTAAATTTTTGAATTTTAATTCTCGCGTGTTACGTCGTATAAAATTTCATCTTTGTTTACATGTGTTTTAATACATGTTTTCTGTGTAATCCCAAACTATCCAAATTTGACAGAATAATTTGATACTAATTTAACAAATAAAATTATCATCAAATCACTCATTACACATAAATATAATCGTGATTGATGAAAACGTTATACACTAATAATCCTTAATCAACATAGGCCATAGTTATTTTTTTTATCGCAAATTACACTCATTTTCCTTCTTCGATAATTTGAAACAATTAAGAATAATAAAAAATTATAATCTAAGAACTCTATTATTATAAGTTGTATAGGAAGTTAATGATTTCATTACCTTGTAATGCAGTATTCATGCATATCTTTGCAGTACTCAATATGCTTCCTGTCAAATACAAAATTTTAATTTATCATGATATAAACAATGGAATTAAATTTTGAATCAGGTTTCTAAAAACATTGATAAAGAAAATTATAACAATTATAGCAAGACAATTTACCTTGAACATAATTGTTTATACAGAGTTTTGTTAGACTTGTTTGGCTACCTGAAACATATTGAAACAAATATATTAAGTAGAATAAAACATTAAAATAATTATATGAATTATGAACAGCCATAGTAGTGATTATATCTATAAAATATTGTTCTATAATATTATAATTAGAGATTAAATACAATGTTACATGCAAATGTACTGCATATAAATTTAATACATATACATTAAAGTAAAAATATTATGTTATGTTATATAACAAAAATATATATTTATATTTAATAAAAACTGGAGAAAATAGAAGTCAAATTTTAGGTTAGAAATTAAAAGTATTATAAATCAAGTTATCACGCAATGAACATACCTTGAATGGAGCTTGCTATACAGGTTCTTGCTATATTCATCACACTTTTAGTCAAAAAATTCATGATTAATGTAATAATTAAACGTCTTCGACAGTAACTTAACCTCGCACAATGTTGTCCTTTTCTTCTTCTTCAAGTGTGACCTAGAACTAGCACTCCATTGGCTAGTCTTATTATAATATTTGTCCTTTTGTGTTGTTAATAATTATATTGTCTTGTATATACTTTTTAGGAAATTTTTCAAAACTTTACATAGTGTTGTTGAACATCTTTGCCGTTGTACGGTATCTCTCCGTATTAAGGCCCTTTTACAATGGCTGCGAGAATAAGGCTGTAAGCGTAAGCAGTATGAAATGGACCAATCACAGTCAATTATTCTTATAATAACCGACTGTGGTTGGCTTATTTCTTACAGCTTTATTCTTGCATCTATTATAGAACGGCTGTTAAAATAACAAATCTAATAAATTCTGTAGAAACTTTATTGGCTCATAAAATAACGAGTAATATCCCTCATATCATTTATTTAAGAAAATTTGCTAACGTGTTTCGAGTCTCAACTAAATCTAATGGAGGTCGGTAAAATATGGATTGAGTCTCTACTAAATTTTATAGAGGCCGATAAATTAAAGTTCGAGTCTCGACTAAAGAATCTATTTTCTAGCCGACATTCGAACCACCACTTACCAGATTCCATAAAATTTAGCTGAGCGTAAATCAGGCGCTTCTTGTAATTTTTATTATTGCATTAGATAGTATTCGTCGAATTACATAAGACAGTATCAAATTCAAATTTTCTCTCCCACTGAAAGTACTCCAAAATAATTGTCTTTCAGTTTTCAAGCAATAACACTACGAGTTGATTAACAAAGAGGATATGCATCAACTTGAAATACATAATTTGGCCTGATCAAGTATTCTTTAATTTTCAAATTTTACGATGCAACGATGCATTATAGAAGACTATGTTATTTAAAAATAGAACTAGACTCACGAGATGAAACGAAACCAAGTAAATTTTACATCGCATGACGTATCTGAAAGTCAAAAACTATACGCTAGAAAATACCTCTCCCGAATTGTTCCATCGACATCATCTTTGCAAATATTACAGCACGTCGAATACTGTCAAATTGTCTAAAGAAAGAACCACGTTGCTTATTAAAAATACAAAATTTATTTAGAAATCGCAAAAGATACAAAGCTCAGAGAAAAGGAGACGAATGCTCCAACGAGGGGCAGAAACGAGGGAAACCGAGGAGAGTCGTACTGACGTTTCGCAACGTCAGTTATAAAATACCGTTCACAGGTTCTTCTCACCAGCCGTAACCACCATGGCCGTAACCACCGCCGAAACCAGCTCCGACTCCTGCACCGTGTCCCACCCCGTATCCCGCGCCGTATCCTGCACCGTACGCGAGTCCCGTGCCGTGTCCTGCACCGTACGCGAGTCCCGAACCGTATCCTGCACCGTATCCGAGCCCTGCCCCGTGTCCCGCGGAAGCAAGACGGTAGGACGTGTACAAAGGTGCGTTGTGACCATGGGAGATTGCCGGCGCACCGTAATTCTGGGAATAAGCGGGCGCGACAGCAGCATGTCCCAGCGAATAGGTCGCACCGCTACCAAGATAGCCGTGGCCGTAGCCTGAAATTAAAAGGGACGTTTGTCGCGTCAACTCTGACCGAAACATATTTTCCACGAGCTCATACGCTAATAATGGAGTTCGGTTGAATCAGCGCGTTGACAAACGCGAGACTTGGAAATGAAGTGTTTATCCATCATGGCTCATATTCTGAACTTTCTTTTAGCGTTAAAAGTGACTATACAAGTGGCTTATATAAGCCTCCTGACTGGTTGCAAGCCATTTAGAGTCACTTTCAGCGATGAAAGAGAATCCAAAATATGGACCTATGGCTAGCAATCAATGGGGGGTTCTTAGATAAATAATTCTCTGATCACACGCTAAGATCTTAGCTTTCTGCCGGTATACATGACTTTATGCCGTCATGCTTATCGCTTTACAAAGAAAGTTTGTCAGATCATTAATAATAGTTTGTCACACGGTAACATATGGGATTATGTAACGACAAACAGAAGGATTCGAGGAAACGTCTCGTCACGGTTTAAATAAACCTTTTGAAATTTGCCGAAAGAGGTGAAATATTTCTGTGCGTTGCATGTGACCATTAACTCTTAGATCTTTAACCCTGTTACCTCTTGCAGTGTGGACGGATACACTCGGTGAAAAAGGTGAACTGTGTGAACGAGTATCTTCTGTATTTGCACCATTTAACAAAACCGATTCTGATCTTTACAGTAAGAAAAAAAAGCGCAAAAGAAACGCGACATAGGTGACTTTAAGCTCTTACGAGAATAAACCCGCCAACAAATATTAACATAAAAAACAATTAAGGGGGACATTTTTCTCTCGTATGCAAATACCTCCGTAACCTGCTCCAGCAGTAGCTAGGTTGCCTTGAAGGCCTATTCCACCGTGTCCAAGTGCTCCGTACCCCAGACCAAGGACACCTCTTTTGTCTTGCCTCTTTGTTACCTGCGTCCCCTGGCCGTAAATGGGAAGTGCCAGGCAGAGGACGGTCAGCAAAAGCTAACAATAAAGAGACATGTAGCGTCATACGATTTAGACTTTTCTCTCTCTCTCTCTCTCTCTCTCTCTCTCTCTCTCTCTCTCTCTCTCTCACGTGACGAGTTTGCGTTTTGTGTTTACGACGACAAATATTAGGCCAGTGTACATTTCACCGTATGAATAGCTCATTTGGCAAACAACAGGGCAATGTGTTACGATGAAATTACGCTCCTAATTAAAAGGCACAGGCGCCAGCTTCCCGCGGGCGGTGTTCTGATAGCAATAATTAGGAGCGGTTTATTCATAATTAAACGCGGCACGATCGATCCGACCCACTTGTAGTACCATTTCAAGCATCTCGTAGCATTTCCATTTGTTTTAATGAAAAAATCCCAAAAAAGATTCGACTTAATCTACTCCAATTTCGAGCCGGTCGTAGCTCGTTGACCTGATTGCCCGAGCTTGCGGATCTACGCGAGGTTATTCCGAAACGTAACGCCGCTCAGGCGGCGATCTTTCGTGGGGTAAATGACTGTGATTACTTACTAAGGCGTTCATGATGGCGACGACGATGATGCGGCGATGCAGAGATCACTACTGAAACTGGTGCTGACCGCACGGGACACACCCCCTTTTATAGTGGAGTCTTTTCTCACAGTATTGCATCTCGACGAAAAGAGTTACATGCGTGTACATGTGTGTGTGTGTGTGTATGTGTTTATCGCACACCCACGGCTCGTGGCGCACCCACACGCACACGCACGCTGACAGATATAGCGGTGAGGAAGGGGGCAGTTAGAGGAGCAGTTAATAGGGCGATAGCGGCGAGGTAAGAAAACCTTACGTGCGGCGCGTGGCTCTAACACGCCTTTCTAAAGCGATTTTTCTGGCGCGCTCGTCACGAAAATTCGTTCTTACGAGAGATAGCGCGCGCGCGATCGACATCGACGCCGCTTACGTCAATGGGAATTAAAAGTCGATCGACTGATCGCTCGAGGGAGGATCGAGGCCGGGAGTAACCAAGTCAAGGAGCATGTCGAATCCCACCGAGTCTCTCGTGAAATTCGCTTCTTTATGATATTGTGGCGAATTGAAAGGCGCGATCGAGACACGTGCTACGAGGGAGGTCAAATTGACTGCAAATTATTCGACGAACAACTTGATCTGCGCAGATATGAGCGTGCGCGCGCGCGCGCGCGAGAGAGAGAGAGAGAGAGAGAGAGAGAGAGGGTGAGAGGAGAAAATCGCGCGATGTATGTCGCCGACGTAACATCCACCGACCTAAATATCCGACCCGTTCATCCGGCTAAATCGCCGACACCGATACGGCACGACGACATGTCGTATCGCATTTTCCGCGCATCTTAAATTTCATCCACGGCAAAACTTTCACTGTCGCACAGCGGCTCCGCGAAGACGGTTTTCGGTTGCAGCGTTACGTAAAGACGCGTCGACATTTTTCCGCCCGGTTCGCCTCCCGCGCCTCCTTCCTTCGCGTTGCATCCCGCGACTGGCGAAACTGGGAAGAAGAGCAAGGACGAGGGGAAGATGGGAGAGGGAGTTTCGAGATTTAATGTTGATTTCGTTGCACCCGTCAGATTTATCGGAGAAATCGCCAATAAAGGTAACGCGCTGCTTTTTATATCCCACGCAGACGAAACTTCGCGGAAACTTATTGCCGAGGAATCTTCTCTCCCCCGAGAAAATGATTTCTCGGTAATTAGACTTACCTCCAACACTACTGACACTAATACACGTAGAAATAATCTTTCTCACACAATCAGGTTCGCCTCCCTCTCCCACGCACGCACACACATACAGTCGGCATATCGAAATATACAAAAAAGAGCTCTCTTTCCGGAGCTGCAGATGCGGAACGATAAAGTGGGAAGTTAATTGCTAAGCGGCCGGTCGTTTATCATCGCCTCTGGCGCAGCAAGCGTTATCTTCTCGTTACCTCGCCACTTGGTATGACCGGCATTTCACAAACGGGCCGAACCGTGAACTCGATTCGACGAAGCAGGCCGTTATTAAATTAGGAAAAAATGCTAAAAGGACTCGTTGATCATGGGAAAGCCGACGGGAGACGCGAAACGCGGGCGAACGCGGCCCGTCTGGGAACACCGAATGGCGGAGGCCCTCGAGCCTTCGAAAGGGCCGCGCGCCGGCTTACGTCAATAAGCGCGATACGCCTAATGGTATCGACGCACGTGATACAATAAAGCACGTCATACTACTAATTTTCCGCGGAGGAGGAGGAGGACGAGGAGAAAGGTGTATCGCATCAAAGGTCGTGCGCCGCCGGCTATTGTGCAAACCAAGTGCAATGAGGGGGTTGCGCCGGGCACACCCCGCTTGACCAACCGCGCGCGCATGGTCGCTCGGAAATCGCGAATATCGGATAGTGCGAAACGCTGTCGGACTTTTACAGTCGGCCGTGCGTTGTAATACTGTCCGGCTCGCACTCGACCGCGACGCACTCGATCTTCTTTACGTTTCTTTTTTTCTTTCTTCTCTACGAAACAAAGCGACTATTAATCGAAGCGTGCTATTAATTGCACTAGAGAGAGAATGCATTTTTTTTTTAATTTTAGCGTCAAGTGCGAATGTACTGCACAGTTTTCGCAAAGGAATGTCGAAGATCCGTCAATTTCTGTTTTTTCTTCTATTGAATAAATCGATTGAATCGCTTTATTTATCGCGTGAACGAGAAGGCATATTTATTATTTTTACGTGATACAAGGAATTTTGATAGCATCAAGAGCGTGCTATATTTTTCTTTTCTTCTCGTTCAATTGCGAATATCTGTCCGTTTCATTTAATTTAATTTAATCTGTCATTTCATTTAAACATAGCGTGTGACTTAGTGCAATCGCAACTGTACCAGCAATAGATCACCCGACGGTGATAACTGTAGAGAGAGAGAAGAAGTGCGGAAAAAGACTCACAGATGGCGACAAGATGTTATTTGATGCCTATTCGTTTAAGATGCACTTCGGGTACCTTCGAACACGCACTTGTTTCACGATAAGTACAAAAGTGTACGTGGTATAGAATGTGACCTGCTGAATGTACTTTTAGGGTGCGTTCCGTTTCACGCATATGCGCGCATTTTTTACAGTATACGTGACATAAACTATACATAAATGTGCGCATATGCGTGAAACGGAACGCACCTTTAGACTATTTTAGACTGTTGTTCAGACGTCCCTGTCATAGCTACCACCTTCGGTGCAAGTGTGCGGCACAGGAGAACCTAACCTCTTCGTATGTCATTTTTTTCTTCTATAATCGATTATAAAATTTCGTTTGTTTCATAATTTCAAGATTCGAATAATTTTATAGATATCTGTATTATTGTACAGATATATGTATGAAGTGAAATTGAATATGAAATGTCTTTATATGTTTATGATCGTAGAATACATAACCTCTACTAATCCTTACAATTGTTTTCCCGGTACGCTTGTATTTGACCCGTCCTCGTGTTACCGACGTTTTCTAATTAAATAAAATGCTCCAATGAAGAATTAAAATTCACACCGTTATTTACAAAATTTGATAATTTCGAGTCATTGGATATTGAATGTATATCTTAATTAAAAGTAGATCCAATTAATATAATATAATCGTATATCTTAATTAAAAATAGAATGCTAATGAACGTATTTTGCATGCTAATGCCGTATTTAATTATATATAATTATAATTATCTATTCGCAGAGCTTGTCACGTTATAGCCAAGTGTAGTACGAATAACATCGTAACTGTACATCAACCGATAAGATTATAATCATGTTGAGAATTTCTAATTGTGTTTCACGTGTGACGTCTTCTGAAACATCAAACGTACATCAAATGCCCTTCCGACGATACGCGTCGAAGACAAACAAAATGAAGAAATTGATGACGGAATTTAAATTCGTCTTTGGCAAATTGCTCGAAAAGAATACTGAAAAGAAAAAGAGATTAGAATTAGAAAACATCGGCAAGATCCCTGTACAGAAACGAAACAAGACAGATACGGAACTGCCATGGGTCATGCAACAGCCTCGTAATAATATCAAAAGGATTATCGTATCCGCAAAAGAACGAAGTGAATCCGAAGATGCGAATCGAATAAATCCGACAAACTCTCCGGAACACTCAATTACGGGGACGTTAGAGGATAAAAAACCGGCCAACCAAAATGCCAAAAATACTTTTCACTCCAAGTCTGATCAATCCACGCAAAAAAGAACACAACAAAAAATAACACAGCAAAGTACCGACGAAAATAAAGTCGCAGAGAACAACAATTTCCATGATGGTACATCATCGTCCAGATCAGACATGACTGATACTGAAAATGCGGCTGCAAAGTGCAGCGTGTCTGAGAAGTTTTTCGACATCGTCGTAAAAAATATACAATCCTTCTCAGTGATGGACAATAAACAAGTATCGGTAGAATTAACAGAAACGTTGTCGATACCCGCGAAAGATGACGTGAAGACAATCAAATTTCCCAGTGTAACTAGGATTCTAACGCACACCATGTCGCCGGAGTCGAAGTTAGCGTTGGACGCGTGGAAGAAAAGAATGACAGAGAAACTTGGGAAGGAGGGTTTCGACAAGTATCAGAAAGGTACTTAATGAGTTATTTCGCACGACTCCGACGAGAGTGCGACAAATAAATCTATTCGCTCTTGATACGCAGCGCTGTTGAACGACGGATCATCCCTGCACACGTGCATAGCACACAACCTGCAGGGGAAAGAATACGAGATACCCTCCAGGATCGAGCCGGTCTTCAACAGCGTACGTAGCGTCCTGAAAGACGTGAGCCACGTGAAAGCCATCGAAGCACACGTGGCTCACACGAAACTACGCTACAAGGGTATAGTCGACTGCGTAGCTTCGTATAGGTAAAACAGAACTTTCCCTTTGCCATCGCAAGGCAAAGTCTGCTCGTAAACGGAGTAGACCCAACAGAGGTCACTGCACCTCTGTGAACTTGGCACCACTTCCTCTCTAGTTGAAACGAAATTTCAACAATAAAATTTCTGTATAGATTTCAGTATAAAATATATATTTTTGTTTGTAGCGGTCTGTCAACAACTTTGTTTGCGATATTGATTGTTAAAAAATTGCGTTTTGGGAAAAGTCCTCTTTGAACGTTAATAATGAAAAAAAGTTCGCTGATACTTGCTAGAATCGTTTGTAATTGTTTGTACTGCTTTCGATTTCGTTTAGTGCAGGTTGATTTTGAACTATATCGACTTTTATCTGTTTCGGACTCTTCTCTTCTGTTTCAAGTGATAAAGTTCAAAATTGCCCTGTAACACGTTTAAGTATGCTCTCACACGTACTAAACTCGCAGGGGCGAGGACTACGTGATCGATTGGAAGAAGTCGGATAAGAAGAAATTGGACTTGAAGGAGACTTATGACGCGCCCATGCAAGTGGCTGCATATATCGGCGCTATCAATGCTTCCAATTTATATCCATTCGTGGTAAATGTCTCCCTAAAGTAAAATTAAAAGTCAAAACCATCAGAACCGGGTAAATATATCCTGACAATCCCGCATGGCGAAAAATTGATTGAAAAACAATTTCAACGATCCTCGAATTTCACAATATGCCAAAAAATCCAATATAAGAAAAATCCAATTCCGATATGAAAACGAAGCAACTTTTCACGTAACTTTTCACCGGATATCTCGAGCTTATGACACAAATTGATCTTATGATAAAGCCAACGAGAATCAACGCGATATTTTCTGATTGCCAGGGAAATCCTGGCACATCGCGTGTCGCAATTATCCAGATTGACCGTGTCTCTTGGTTCCTCAGATAAAACGCGGGTTAATCGTGATTGCCTACACGTGCGGCGAGCCAGCGACGGTGCACGAGATGTGCGGCGACACGCTGCAGGAATACTGGACGATGTGGTTACGGCGTTTGCAGCAGTACCACGTCGAAAGCCGGCGAGCACCGGCGACAATATGAGCAATAAAACGCTAATGTAACGGCGCGCCGTCGTATATTCATTAAAACTTCCTCACACAAAGTCCCCCCCAATTAAATCCTTATCCGTCAGCCGCAGGTAACTCTCGACGTCAGCGGCCCAAGTTTTTAATTCCTTCCCTAGCGCGTCAGAAGTTGCAATAATCTATAGTCTTCGGGGAGTAGTTGGAAAAGCTCTCCTCGTCCGAGTCGGAGGAAGCCGCGAAGGACGCGAGAGGAGCGAAGCAAGAGGAAAACCGCGTCGATACGGCGATTCATTAAGCTCAGCGCAGTGAGCCCGGGGCTGCTGATGATTCACGAGAATCATACGCACTTTTTCCGACCGGCCGATAAACGACATATAATGATTGTAAAAGGAAACGCGAGCCATGATCAATTATACATAACTTTGTAAAATATATTTTTGTAACTATTAAAAGTGCATGATTCTTTTTCTGCATATATTTTTCTTCGAAGACCTAATTTTCGCAAATCTGCGAACGCTCGGAGAAGTAAAAATACTGAATTTCTCAGATCGTGACCGCAAGCACTTAAGGACACAAAGCTCTCTCTCTCTCTCTCTCTCTCTCTCTCTCTGCTCGAGAAGCAAAAAATTGCTAATCTGCGAAGCGACGGCTTGCAAAAGAACACGAAGAAGAAGAGACCCTGGTCTCACTCCCTTGCAATGCACGAGAAGAAGAATAGAAACACGGTGGGTATAAAAACATGGTCACCATTTCGCGTCACCGCGACTCTGTCGGTTAACATACAGCAATTATAACTTTCTGCCTGCAGCTCCGGAGCAGGGGCTGCCGTGTTACGTGGCTCCTCGTTACAGGGTCCCATAAACATCGCGCCCAACCCTTCGTGCGCCCATGGGGATCGTAAACTAATGGTGAAGCGGTGTAGCGGAATTATATCGTTCGTTGTGTTTCCGCATACCTGAATCACACACATACACACACACACACACACACACACACACACACACACACACACACACACACACACACACACACACACACACACACACACACACACATAGACACAGCCGGGAGAATCGCGTCAGGATATCAGAGATATTGCCCGTCGCGTCGCGTCCTTTAACATTCCGACTGATTTTAGGCGACGCGCGCGGCGCAAGGAGAAATTCGTAATAGCAGCTAATTTGCAACCCCGATACACCTTTTTCAGCGAAGAGAAACAGAATTGGTGTTGTTTCTTCAACGTGAGCGGGAGGACCTGGTGTTATGTCGCGAGGAACGTCGATGGAAACTAGTCGGAAACTTTTTGTTCATTTTTTTTACACACTTGGCTCTCCTGCTGCCTTTTTATCACGCTAATAATAATTCCTCGCGCTCTTTGCGACATCCGACCTTTACGAGCGAAGTGCTGTTTTGCATCAAAGAACTCTTCCATTAGCGTGCCAAGTAACAACGCAATTACAGCTCCCCTCGCTTACCGAGAAGTACAAATGCTCTCGTCACGTAGCAAAACAAATGCTGCGACTTGCGGAGGCGCGGCGGTAAACGAAGCGATGATAGCAGTCGCGTTGCACAGCGCCGGAAAATAGTGCGGGTGTGAATTACAGGGATTTAGAAAATTTGCCGAAAAATTTTCCACCCTCGCCATTACCCAGCTCTCCGCATTTGCGATAATTAAGGAAGCGCTAGAGGGATTAACTGTAGAGATTTAATTGCGAATGATTTAGACACGTCGTTTCCTTTTTTCAAACTGCCTGGGAAAGCTCCGCGATGCATACGTACGTGCGCGCGCGCGCACACACACACACACACACACACACACACACACACACACACACACACGCACGCACGCACACACTCACAGGTAACCGCGAAGAGTCGTGCCGCGATAAAACCGACGACGCTAACCCGTTGAAAACGTCATTACGACGCGTTCTCTCTCTCGTTTTGCCGCGCGCTGCGCGCCGGATCAAAAGAGCAAACCACCGCCGCATGCCGCAATCTGTTTTCGTAATACGAGATAACGCTGCAGAGTGAAATTTAGTGCAGGCCGCGGATTATCCGCAGCCGCTGCCGAGAATTCTGTCGTTCGCACGTCCGTCCCCATCCCGGTGTCTCCCGGTCCTCCCGGCGAATCCTGAGCGAAGACAACCATATTTCCGGATTAGACATTTAGCGAGCGCCCGGCCCCAGATGACTCTAAATCTCCCGGCTAATCCTCGCTAATCCCCCCCAGTAACAGTGGCATATTTTCATCGGCCGATCCGCCCTCTTCGCGCGCCAAGAGTTATGAAAACGATAACTTCGACTCGCCCGCCCGACGAGTCTTGCCGCCCGCCCTGTGACCGTCGTCGCACCGCCTCCGGCTCGTCGCCCGGACGCGCGTGCTCCGCGCGTCCGGGAAAACACGCCGGAAAATGCGCCGCGGGGATTACCGAACTCGGCGATTTATCGGAGACCCGCGAGGAGGGTGCCCCGTCGGACGATCCATTCGCTTCCTCGTCGCTAATGTAGCGACGATGGAAAAGCGGCTTTCTATTAACTACCTTGCGTTCCGAGGAAGCCGGCGGTTGTTCATTCTGCCGGGAGCACCGTGCGGAAACTGCAGGTAACGCTTAATCCGGGTCATGATGTATCTGAGAAGTGGCTAAAGTTCCGGCTAAAGTTTCAATGTCGCCGCGCATACTCGAGAAACATATACAACGCGATAATACATGCCGCGGTAAGATTGAAAACCCGCGAGCCGTGAGAAAGAGAAAGACGCTTGTCCCGTTACAGAGAAATAATTCCTCTTTTTCTTTCGCTAATAGCCGATCGAGCGCAGCGCGAAACCTTCCATCCGCCGGCCGCGGATCTAAGCATCCGCGGGACCGCAGATCTTCGGCGATTGCGATCGCGATACTTCGACGAAAAGAAGTCGTCGGCCTGGAACTGGAGCACGTGCGAAATTACGAAGTTTCCATCGTCCCGGCGGCGAGTGGGGCGCGAGCAGTCGTCGTCGACGTCGATATTCTTCGCGGGAAGGCTTGCGGCCGCCGACGGCCGAGCGGGCGCGGCGAGTGCTGCTAATGGCGAAAAGTTTATAAATACAGGGGTGGGAGGATTCGACGCTGCCTGCGGCGGAGGAAAATCGACGGGCGCGCGACGAAGTCGATGATAAAGGCGAGCTTCGTCCAAAGAGTCGCATGCCCGAATTAATCCTCCTCGGGAGCGCGGCGCGGCGCGGCGCGGCGCGGCGCGACGCAGCTCGTCGTGCATGAATTATCGATCGCTGGCGTACGCGCGCGCAACGGTCACGCTACATTTGCCTTCCAATAATAATTAATAATCAAGCGAAGCGGAGCGCCAGGGCCAAGCCACAAAGGACCGGATTACACGCGAGACGGAAAACGGCCTAGCGCAAACGCCGACCGGCCGGTCTGTCTCGATGCGACTCCGCCGCGATCTACCTGCTGCAATTTCCGGGACGGACGCGCGGCTGAATAGCCGACCTACCAGCAAACCGCAAGAAGCATCGTGATCGTGTCCTCTTTGAAACAAAAAGAAAAAGAGAAGAAGAAGGAAGAAAGGAGAAAAACTAACGCTAACGCCCTTTCGTTCTTGTCTAATTATAAAACGGAGCGATTCCTCTCATCGCGCCGCGCGCCGACCGACGTCGGCCGCTTCGCTCTGAGACACTTGCGAATACTTTGCGAAACGCATTATCTCCCGGAGAGACAACAGGAACATTGGAACATCGCGTCGCTTTATCTCGCGAGTACAAATCGCCGCTCATGCTCGTTACACGCGCTAAGAACGAGTAAGCTGTCGCTGCGAAATGGCCATCATTTCGTAAGCGCTTGGCCGGCTTCTGTATTTGTAAGCGCGCTACGGTATTGCATGTTTTCCGTCTTTGGAGATTCGCACAGGTGCGCACCTGCAGCCAATTAGGGAGCTTGCGTTAAAAGCGGTTCAAACTGCGTCCTAAAGCGAACGCGTCGTAATTGTGTCTCGTTATTGGCCCAGCCAAGACGCGTGTGCGTAATATCTGTGATGCGGCATCTTGCCGAGATCGATAAGACTGACACGGATAAAGATGAGTTGTCTACGGGGTGTACCGAGCGGAATCTGCTAGCTTTTGTGCGCGCGACGCGTTCAATCTCGATGAAAGCGATCGAGATCATTTTCGCGAAGTCGCGAAGAAGCACCTTGGAGACTGTTTGTCTCATTTTCCTCGGAGTCCTCGCGATCTGTTCGTGTGATAAAAAATTCCTACCGAGCGCTTAATGTTAGATATTGAATATTCTCTCGACGTCAAGGATCATTCCGAATTAATTGCGAGTCTCGAGAGAAATCAGAAGAGCGAGCCGAGTACCTTGACAATTAGGACGTTACATTTTTCTCGTTCAAACAATACTTCGTCACAGAATGACTTCCACCCGTGGCAATTTTTCCGTTAATTTTTCTCAAATTCCCCGAGAGAAAATGCATTTTTCTAGACGATTTCGTCGAGAGAAATCCGCCGTTAAAAGAGACGACAGTTTCTCTCTCTCTCTCTCTCTCTCTCTCTCTCTCTTGTGAAATACTTCTACGACGCAAGGGAACCATGCCATCTTCTCGTTATTTTTAGTTGCCAAAGTAAATGCTGTATCTCGGGAGGGTCGTTGAGAAAGAGCGTCGATTAAACGGTGGCGGAAAGAGGGTCAGGGTGCAAGTAATTTTCCCGTGTATCGCCGAATTCGCATATCGTGGCGCGTTCCGTAGCTCGCTCATATTGCGGAAACTCGCGCGTATATACCCGGTGTGTTCGTCGTCGCGCAATACGTCATCGGGCTGCTCGCGAGCAATTTCACGGAGCGCTATATCTCACCGGGGGAGGGAAACTCCCGCGGCTGTATATTGCGAAATCGGTGAGAGATCTGCCGCAAGCTTGAAAATATAACCTCGGCTATAGCGGGGAGGGCTGTACTTTCAGTTCCCCGATGTTCCCATTTCTCGAGTTCGCGCGCCGGATTTCGGGCCGCGTCGCACGCGCGCCCCGGAGAAACGACACAAGGAATCAAATTGTCTCCCTTCGTATACGGGGTGCCGCGGACACGCACACCGGAATAGACATTTCTCCAGCGGCAACTTTGCGCGCCATGAAAATTTACGTAACGTTCACGTTTCACGTTACGGAAGAATATACGCGCATGTACCTCAGCAGCAAGTGGATCTCCGATGAGAGCTTACCGCTGCGGTTAGATCGATATTGCGATTAATATTGATTTAATATCCATTTTTATCCAAATACACGTTGCTTAGATTTACTCAAGCTGTGATTCAATATTAGCATCTTCTACCTTGAGACCCTTGAAATTTGCATAACACACATACTCAATATTAGTAGCTTTGATCGCTAATCTATTTGGGATCTGCTGGCCTAATTTGTTACTCAAACACACGGCTGCAAAGTGAAACG